GAGTTAGGAAAGCTTAATACTTACGGTTGATGTTGTTTTACAGACCTGTATGTGAAGCTCTATGTGGTGAATGTGGCCACTCAGAAAAGAATCATCAAGAAGAAAACCAGAGTGTGTCGTCATGATCGTGAACCGTCTTTCAACGAAACTTTTCGCTTCTGCATGAACCCTGCAGGTCATTCCATTCAGGTATGTCAGAAATCGATGCACTAGGGTGCTAAAATTTGATCCGACTTAAAGTAGTGATTCATATTTATTCCAACCCTTGCAGCTCTTTCTTGTTTCAAATGGAGGCAAGTTCGTAAAGAAGACCCTAATCGGTGAAGCCTACGTGTGGCTGGATAAGGTAGACCTGCGGAAACGGGTGGTGAGCTGGCACAAGCTGCTGGCCAGCACAGCTCAGATCCACTCCTAAAGACGGCGGTCAGATGAGGCGCGAGGACAGACCAGGCAGTGGAGTCTCACATCTCTGCCGCACTCTTTGGGACTAAACTGAGGCCGACACAGGGAGCTTCCCGATTGCACTGGCATGTATGATTGTGTTAATCCAAGCCATGGAGAAACAGGTGTATAATGGTGTTTACAGAAAGGATCTGACCCTTAGTGACAAGATGCAGATCTTTACGTTGGGAAAAGCTCAAAAAATTGAGCTGGAGATTCACACACACAGTGTGTTCAAACCTATATGTGTACATGCACTTTCACAATCACTCACACTTATCCACACATATTTATACAGATGTATGTATAATAATATGTGTACATTGGGCCACAACCGACAGTTAGATGATAGAGTGAAAGTATATTTATTTCAAAGTAATTTTTCCTGTTTGTGCATTATTCATATGAGAACTATTATTTACAGATAGAGATGGATATCATATACATTATTTTTGTATGATAGAGACAAATTCAGTTTTGGATATTTATCGTTATTTTACATTCCCTCTCAGATGTTATTATGTGTTGAAAGACCTGATATTTAAAGCATATTATCAATGGATTAGAAGAGTATTTTATGGTATATTATAGACAGATTTAAATGAATGAAATATGATTTATTGGGTGTTGTGATGACTCTTTGTGTCAGTATGGTTATTTCCACTCACAGAAGTAATACTTTCATCTTTCGCTGTGTGATACTGAATTCATCAAAGTCAGAGATAGAGTTTCAAAGCTCTAGGAATCAAGAAGCAGATAATTACAAAGAATGTAAACGTTTAAGAAAACTGCCGGTCTTATATGACTCACACAGAAATGAATGGGATATCGAATAGAAAGTGTTCGCTGATTATGATTTGCTATCTCATTTCATGAATGTGACAGTCGAAATATCTCCAATTTGCAGCAGCATCAGTTGAATATGTCAAATCCAGCACTGTTATATAATTTGCACTTTGTGTCTAGCATTTTACGAATGTAGGTTGGTAGCTTTTTCTGAGTTTTCCTCAAAACAACAAAAACATCCTGCTATTTAAAAGAGTCAAACACTGTCAATCCCCTACATACTCATATGCATCTGTCTCTCTTAAATACTCAAGGATTAGATTTAATGGGTCAGTGTAGTGTCTGTCCGCATCATATTGCTGATACAATGTTGATAATATGTTTCATTTAAAAAATAAATAAAAAAAACTCCTAAACACTCAGGTTTCGGTGAAAAGGCCTTGCTTAAAAATTATTGGCTGATCTTTGATCTAAGCAGGGTCAGCTTAAAGGCGATAACAGTGCAGGATCAGGGTGATGAAGACATCACAATGTGTTCCTTTTTAATTTAACAGATTATTTTGGCTAACTTTAATTTTCTTCTCGGTTTACATGTCTAAAAGGAGACGTTATCTCATACTTTCAGAAATGTGTGGCCACTTCGCAATGCAGACACTAATTAGCCATTAGTATTATTTATATATATATA